ATGTCAATGGCTATTTTCCCCATACTCATGTGTCCATATTTTGGCATATGGAATATTTGTGCCAAGTTTGGTCCAGATCCATCATTGTTTTGAGTCCACAGTGCTTTCCGAATATACTTACTTACTTAGGCGATCCCTCGTTGGACGAGTAAGATGGTCTTCCATTATGGATTTCCCTGTGGGTCCGTATGTGGCTGTGGAGCCCTATTCTTGCTCTGCATCTTCTTCCGCAGTGAGGGCATTGGTTTCCAGGTGGAAGGTGGTCCCGGTCGGGGTTGGCTTGACGCGCCTTCCTCCTGGCACGTTTCTCTCTTTCACCCTCCACTCGTGCCTCCTCAAATTCTGCAGCACTGCTGGTCACAGCTGACCTCCAGCTGGAGCGCTCAAGGGCCAGGGCTTCCCAGTTCTCAGTGTCTATGCCAGAGTTTTTAAGGTTGGCTTTGAGCCCATCTTTAAATCTCTTTTCCTGTCCACCAACGTTCCGTTTTCCGTTCTTAAGTTCGGAGTAGAGCAACTGCTTTGGGAGACGGTGGTCAGGCATCCGGACAACATGGCCGGCCCAGCGGAGTTGATGTTGGAGGACCATCGCTTCAATGCTGGTGGTCTTTGCTTCTTCCAGCACACTGACGTTTGTCCGCTTGTCTTCCCAAGAGATTTGCAGGATTTTCCGGAGGCAGCGCTGATGGAAACGTTCCAGGAGTTGCATGTGACGTCTGTAGACAGTCCACGTCTCACAGGCATATAGCAGGGTTGGGAGGACAATAGCTTTATAAACAAGCACCTTGTTATCCCTACGGATGTCCCGGTCCTCAAACACTTTGCTTCATTCGGAAAAATGCTGCACTTGCAGAGCTCAGGCGGTGTTGTATTTCGGTGTCGATGTTGACTTTGGTGGAGAGGTGGCTGCCAAGGTAGCGGAAATGGTCCACATTTTCTAATGTTACACCATTAAGCTGTATCTCTGGCATTGGAGAGGGGATTGGCTGGTGACTGCTGGAACAGCACTTTGGTTTTCTCAATGTTCAATGACAGGCCAAGCTTCTCATATGCTTCTGCGAAGGTGTTTAGAGTGGCTTGTAGATCTTCTGAATGAGCACAGACGACATTGTCATCAGCATACTGGAGTTCTATAACAGATGTTGTTGTAACCTTGGTTTTGGCTTTCAGTCTGCTGAGGTTAAATAGCTTGCCATCTGTCCGATAGATGATTTCCACTCCAGTGGGAAGCTTCCCATCAACAAGGTGAAGTATCATAGCGATGAAGATGGAGACTAGAGTTGGGGCAATAACACATCCCTGTTTGACACCCGATTCCACCTTAAATGGGTCACTTTGGGAGCCACTGCTGTCCAAGACTGTTGCCATCATGTCATCATGGAGGAGCCGCAGGATGTTCACAAATTTGCTTGGGCACCCGATTTTGTGGAGGATGGTCCAGAGAGCGCTGCGATTCACTGTGTCGAATGCCTTTGCAAGGTCGATGAATGCCATGTACAGAGGTTGGTTTGTTCCCTGCATTTTTCTTGGAGCTGTTGCAGTGAAGATCATGTCCACGGTTCCTCTGGAGGGGCGGAAGCCGTTCTGGGATTCTGGGAGGGTGTCTTCTGAGAGGGCAGAAGGCGGTTTGCAAGGATTCTTGCGAGGATTTTCCCAGCGGAGGTTAGAAGGGAGATACCTCGATAGTTTCCGCAGTCTGTTCTTTCCCCTTTTTTGAAGAGGGTGATGATGGTGGCGTCCTTGAAATCTGCTGGGATTTTCTCGGTCACCCACACTTTTTCTATGAGCTGGTGGGGAGTTGGTGTGTCAGCTCAGGTCCTCCCTCTTTAAAGATTTCAGCAGGGATCCCATCCGGTCCACTGGCTTTGTTATTCTTTTGTTGGCTGATGGCATTGCTGACTTCTTCCAAACTAGGCAGTGCTGCAAGCTCATCCCTGGTTTGTTGTTGCGGAATTTGTGAGAGGACCTCTTCGGCCACATTGGAGCTGCGGTTCAGGAGGCTTTGGTAGTGTTCTTTCCAACGTAGTGCAATTGAGTTTTGGTCCTTCAGGAGTTTGGTTCCATCTGATGAGCGTAGAGGCTGTATTCCATGGTTTCTTGGTCCATAGATGACCTTTGTGGCTTTGAAGAATCCCTGAGCATCATGGGTATCTGCCAGGTGTTGGATTTCTTCAGCCTTCTTTGTCCACCAGATGTTCTTGAGTTCTCTTGTCCTTCTTTGGACCTCAGCTTTTGCACTGGCATAGATCTTTTTCTTAGCAGCACAGTTGATGTCTCTCTGCCATGCTTGGAAGGCTTTCCTTTTCTTGTCAATTAGCTGTTGGATCTCGATGTCATTTTCATCAAACCAGTCTTGATGTTTCTTGGCTTGGTATCCAATAGTTTCTTCGCAGGCTGTGACGATGGAGGTATTCAGTTTTTTCCAATGTTCCTCAACATTTTCGGGGTGTTCTATGAGTAGCTGGTCCTTGAGTGCTGTTTGGAGATGGGCTTGGGTGAAGGGCTTGGGTGTTCATTTTGCGCCTTGTCTTCCTTCCTTGGAGTCTGCGCTTGGGGGCAATCTTGAGAGCCATCGAGGATCGAATTAGCCTGTGGTCAGTCCAGCAGTCGTCAGCACCTGTCATGGCTCCTGTGAGGAGCACATCACGGCGGTCTCTGGCGCGTGTGATTACATAGTCTAAGAGGTGCCAATGCTTTGACCGGGGGTGCTTCCATGATGTCTTGAACTTGTTTTTCTGGCGGAAGAGCGTGTTGGTGATGACAAGGTTGTGTTCCGCACATTTGGTGAGAAGCAGGATGCCATTTGAGTTGCTGTTTCCAACCCCGTCTTTTCCGATGGTTCCTGGCCACAGGTCGAAGTCTCGCCCAACTCTTGCATTGAAGTCCCCCAGGAGGATGATTTTGTCCTCCTTAGGTATCCCCGATAGGATGTCCAGCTGACAGTAGAATTTCTCCTTGATGTCTTCGTCAGCATCTAGTGTTGGTGCATAGGCACTTATGATGGTTGCCCGTTGGTTTTTGGCAAGATCGATTCGGAGGGTTGAGAGTCGTTCGTTGATGCCAGTGGGTGCTTCGGACAGATGTTTCACCAGATCATTCCTGATGGCAAAGCCAACTCCGTGCATTCTTTGGTCTTTTTCGGGCAGTCCCTTCCAGAAGAAGGTGTAGCCTCCTTTTTCTTCCTTCAGCTGTCCCTCTCCTGCTCTCCGGGTCTCCTGAAGGGCTGCTATGTCGATGTTGAAGCGTCCCAGCTCCCTTGCAATGATGGCAGTTCTGCGTTCGGGGCGTTCACTGCCACTGTTGTCCATCAGAGTCCGTACGTTCCACGTACCGAAGTTCATTTTCCTTTTTTGGCCGCAGGGTGGTGACCCCACTGGACGCGGCAGTCCAGTCAGGGATAAGAGAGGCAGACTATGTTTAGGGCACCTTTTCTAGCCCCCTCCCCATGTGGGGTGAGCAGAGTGGGTCCTCAATAGGGCTGCTCAGTCGTGGATACAGCTGCCGAACTACTCAACTGCCTCGGACCTTGAGGTAGAAGGACTGAGTCCGTACCCACCGCCCATGTGCCAGTCTGTGACTAGGGGCTTCCAGATTTCACAGTCCTGCCCCCGTCGCCACTCGCTGATCGCCATGGGACTTTGGTTGCTTGGTTTTTATTTTCTTTGGAAGACGCCTGTGCGTGGGTTTTTTTAATGTGTGGAGGTCAGTGCACAACTGATCAACACACAGACTTCACAGAGGGAGGTTCCACTGGTGATGTAGTTTAACACAATGACCGTGGCTTCTCAGTCTGTTGCAGCCTTCTTCCGCCTTCGCAGCCGTTGTAACATGTGCCATGTTATCCTCCGCCTGCTCCGCCGTTGAGGTCTTTGGGTCTTCGGACTGTGCTTGGTCTGGAACCTCCCTCGCGGCCACTCCTGGGAGTGCACGACTCCAGTTGTTGTGCCTACAGGTTCATTGGAACACGCAAGCCCCTCACCACGACAAGGTGACAGTCCATCTAGATGTAGGGGAACTTCAACTCCAAAACTCAAGGTCAATGCCCACCAAACCCTTCTAGTGTTTTCTGTTGGTCATGGAGTCCTGTGTGCCATGTTTGGTTCAATTCCATCATTGGTGGAGTTCAGAATGCTCTTTGATTGTAGGTTAACTATAAATCTCAGCAACTACAACTCCTAAATGACAAAATAATTTTTTGAGTAATGGCCACTCCTTGGGTCAGTAGGTGTCTTGTGGCCAAATTTGGCAGCAATTTGTCCAGTGTTTTTTGAGTTATGTTAATCCCACAAACTAATATCTTCACCTGGGTCATGTGACTTAGACATGTCGCCATGTGACCAGGGCACCTGAAGTCATGTTTCTCTCTGGTATTTGAGGTAAATAGCGGCGCCCTGACTATTCACTCCGCGTGCCATGAATCCCGCTATACTGAACGCCAGGCCTCTTTCCTGGGAAGGCCCCGAGGGTCGCCTCAGGCCGCAGCAGAGTGACAGCCTTGACCGGCCTATCCTCGAGGCGGGCGACCCTCTTTGCCCCGCCTCGCAAGAGCTGAGCACTTCCTCCGGCCACGCCCCTTGCCTCGCGCCCCTCACGGCCGCGGGTGGGGTGGGGGGGGGAGCGAGGCGTGAGTCGACGGGGAGCTTCTCCTTCCCTCTTTCTTTCCCACGGCAGCAACAGGGCCCTGGCAGCTGACTGGGCCGCTGGAGAGGAGCGCGTGGGCGCAACGCGGCCTCCCATTGGTCTGCCTGGCCAGGCAGGGGTGCGCGCGGCAGAGCAAGCGAAGGCTGTCACGTGGTGCAGGGCGGAGGAGTTGAGGAGGAGAGGAAGAAGAAGGGGGGAGGAGGAGGAGAGGGGTGAAGAAAGGAAGGGGAAGAGCGTGTCACTCACTTCCTGCGGCGAAGCCGATTGGCGGAGCCGCGCTCGTTCGAACCACGTGACGGGGCGCCGAGGCGCTTCCCGGTTGGTGGTTCCCGTGGTTACGAGGAAGAAGGGGGCGGGGCGTTGGCATCCGCCGCTGCCGAGGTAGGAGTCGCGCGGCCGCCGCATTAGCAGCGGCCCGTGAAGGCGGCTTCGCTCCTCGGCTTCCCTCGGCCAGCCATGGAGGACGCCGGGGGGTGAGCGCCTTGGCGGCGGCGCGCAGAGCAGGAAGGGAAAGGAAGGGAAAGGGAAAGGGAAGGGAGGGCGGCCTTGGCAGGAGGATGCGCGAGTACAAGGTGGTGGTGCTGGGCTCGGGCGGGGTGGGCAAGTCCGCGCTCACGGTCCAGTTCGTGACCGGCACCTTCATCGAGAAGTACGACCCCACCATCGAGGACTTCTACCGCAAGGAGATCGAGGTGGACGCCTCGCCCTCGGTGCTGGAGATCCTGGACACGGCCGGCACCGAGCAGTTCGCCTCCATGCGGGACCTCTACATCAAGAACGGGCAGGGCTTCATCCTCGTCTACAGCCTCGTCAACCAGCAGAGCTTCCAGGACATCCGCCCCATGCGCGACCAGATCATCCGCGTCAAGAGGTGAGCGAGAGAGCGAGCGAGGGAGGGAGGGGCCCCGCCCAAGACCCCGCTTCCGGCCCCCTGCCCTCCCTCCCCCTCCCTCCCTCCTTCCTTCCGAGGGGGCGTCCACACTGCGGAAGGAATGCAGCTGGGCACCGCTCAAACTGCCCTGGAGTGTGGCAAGGCCAGCACCCCCTCCCATCGCCCCAAGGCAACTGCATTCCTTGTACAGTAGTGTCAGAGCGCCCCTTGGTCATGGGTTTTTACCCAGTGCCCTTTCCTCCAGGCTCTGTTTTTCCTCTGCCCAGCCCTCCTTCTGCTGGGCGGCCCTCTGACTCATGCTCCCTGCCCTCCACTCCCTGCCTGTGAGTAGCTCTCTAAGGGCCCTTCCACACAGCCATATAACCCAGAATATCATGGCATATTATCCACCATATTTGCCTTGAACTGGGTTATATGGCAGTGTGGACTCAGGGCCTTTGCACACAGCCATAAAACCCAGAATAGCAAGGCAAATCATCCACAGTATCTGCCTTGAACTGGGTTATATAGCAGTGTGGACTCAGAGCCCTTCCACACAGCCATAAAACCCAGAATATCAAGGCATATTATCCACAATATCTGCTTTGAACTGGGTTATATGGCAGTGTGGACGCAGGGCTTTTCCACACAGCCATAAAACCCAGAATATCAGACAGATCATCCACAATACCTGCTTTGAACTGAGTTATATAGCATTGTGGTCTCAGGGCCCTTCAACACAGCCATATAACCAGAATATCAAGGCAGATCATCCACAATATCTGTTTAGAACGGGAATATTAAAAGCCCCCAGTGGCGCAGTGGGTTAAACCTTTTTGCCGGCAGGACTGGTCGACTGACAGGTTGGCGGTTTGAATAGAGGGAACAGGGCAAGCTCCGGACTGTCAAGCTCCAGCTCCCCATGCTAGGACATGAGGGAAGCCTCACATAGGATGGTAAAACATTAATCATATGGGCGTCCCCTGGGCAACGTCATTCCAGACATCCAATTCTTTCACACCAAAAGTGACTTGTGGTTTTTCAAGTTGCTTCTGACACGAAAAAACTGGATTTTTGGAGTCCACACAGCCATGTATCCCAGCTTAATGTGGATTTTATACAGCTGTGTGGAAGAGGCCTTAATGCTCCACAGCAGCTCCTTCTCACTCTCACTTAAGCTATTCCTGTGCCTCCAGAGTGCATTCCTGCTTGATGTCCTGAGCAGGGGCCTTGGATGTGGGAGTTACTCCTGTGCATCCCCCCTCCCCCAGACTTTGCATCCAATTCTCTCTGTCCTAGGTGCCCTTCTCTATCTCTTACTCTGTTTCCCACGAGCTTTCAATTCCTCATTCTGTTGTTGACTCCTCTGTGTTGCATCAACTGGCAGCTTCCACAACTTCTGCAACTCTTAACATCCATAGGGCCCGTAGTCACCAGCCATTTGCTGCATACCATATTTATAATCTGAATTTCTCATAATGTTTTGAGTGCAGTGTGTGCTTTCCGTGCCCTGTTCCTGTCATGGAGTTTTCTACTTCAGTAGAGATTCTGTGTGCCTGTGTTGCCGCCTACTTGCACCATGATCTGCATGAACCAATGCCTTGCCTACACATTCCAAGTATGCCTTGGATGTGTGGCTTTGGATTTCTTCTTTTCTGCCTCCAAGAGCAGTCTAATGCTGTGTGAAAGTGTTAGAATGAATTGCACCCAACGGTAAACACTGTCTTCATGTTTTTCTTAAAGTATGATGGTAAGAGGTGTTCAATAGTATAACATGCTGCCTCAGAGTGTGGTGGACTTTCTCTATCTGGAGGTTTTTGAGCCAGGCTGGATGCCATATGTCAGGAGTACTTTGATTGTACTTTTCCTGTATGGCAGGAGGTTGGACTGGATGGCCTTTGGGGTCTCCTCCAGCTCTATGATTGTTATTGTAAGTTACTTGATAGGGTTTAGTTATTTCTAGCTGACTAGGGTTTGGGGAATTTCCTCTTCTCCGTGGGATTATTTGTTGTGCATGGTAGTGCAGCGGGTTAAACCACTGAGCTGCTGAACTTGCTGACAGAAAGGTTGGCGGTTTGAATCCAGGGAGCGGGGTAAGCTCCCGCTGTTAGCCCCAGCTTCTGCCAACCTAGCAGTTCAAAAACATGCAAATGTTAGTAGATCAATAGGTACCGCTTCGGCAGGAAGGTAACTGCACTCCATGCAGTCATGCCAGCCACATGATCTTGGAGGTGTCTAAGGACAACACTGGCTCTTCGGCTTAGAAATGGAGATAAGCACACACACACACACCCCTCCCCGGAGTCAGATACGACAACTTAATTTCAGAGGAAACCTTTGCCTTTTAAGGTTTATCAAAAGGGATCACATCATTTGTTTTCTTCTGAATTGTTGGCATGTGGTCTGGATGGAAGGAGGAATGTCTGGCAGATATACAGTTTTTCCCCATTTCTGCACTGGGGGAAGATTTGTCTCTTTCCTCCATCAGATTAAAGTTATTGAGGCTAAATAACGCCAAAGAAGGTAATTCAGTAAAATGCATCTTTTCAAGAATTGTGTTAGGGTCTTCCTAAAAAGGATAAAATTGTGTTTACCAGTGTCCATTTATCTCCACACCCATCTGTAGAAGAATGAAGACTTTAAAATCACCCTGCCCCAACATTTTGGGGCTATAGATTCCTCCTCTTTAATTTTTTGTCTTAAAAATCTGAATATATCCTGCTTCATGAGCTTTGGTATCAGTCATATGTAAAACTGCCCGGAGAAGGTTACAATCAACTCAGAAAAAGAAGCTTAAATATACTGGCAAAAACACTGTAGTGCATAAACATCAATAACCAAAGGGAACAAGAGACTAGGAAAATCTGCCTTTAAAAGAAAAGGTCTAACTCAACTTGGGGAATTTGGGGTGATGTTGAACTGTATGTCTTAGCGACCTTATTTACTTACTTACTTACAGTGCTTATATCCTGCCCTTCTCACCCCGAAGGGGACTCAGAGCGGCCTTACAACAAATATAAAATAAACATATACATTAAAACATAATTTTAAGAGCCATGTAAAAATAAGGCATTATTAAAATCACACAATCCAAAATCATGGTCAAAAAGCTGTTCCAGTTATTATTGCACATTTTCATCTTCACTTATTTCACAGCACTATTGACCAAAGGCTTGGCCCCAGAGCAATGTTTTTACTTGCTTTCTGAAGGTCAGGAGGGAGGCAGCTGACCTGATTTCGCTGGGAAGTTCCATAGCCGAGGGGCCACCACTGAGAAGGCCCCTAGCTAGGAATACTGAGGAAGGCAGGAAGTTACAGGCCACCAAACTGTGGAAAGCTGCATAATTTCCAACCCTGGTCTAAACACAAATTTTAGTCCCAATTAGAGAAGACCTAAAAGACCTGAATGCCCCAAGTACATGAGATTTTCATAAGTAGGTGACTTGAACACGCAAACACACAGAGTAGACTCATTGAATCCACTTATGTGTAGTCTGTAGATTCACTGGATTTTCTAAAATATAGGACTAACATTCAAGAATTTTTTTGATGCCATGTGTTGCATATCAGGGCATCCTTCTGCGGTTCAGGGGTGTCACCCTGCATAAATTAGTTTTTGTAAGCTGGTGGGTGGTGCCTGGTGGGCCTGCTTTCATAGTCCAACCACAGGGAAGTTTCTCTTTTGTGCAGTTTCAATTTTAATCTTGCACTGAACTCAAGGAGGCCTCCTGAGAATTGCATACTAGGGAGGTTGATGAGTAATAATAGTAGAGGCAATTAAGGATCAGGGAAAGTGCCTGTAGGTTCTAGAACAAGGAATAAATTGAAACGACTCAGCTAATTCAAATTAAGAGAGTTACACCTAGTCACCATTGCATTGGTTTCAATGGAATGTTGTAGTTATCATCAAACCTGGTGCTGAATTAGGGTTGGAATTTGCCCGTCCTTCAGGCCTCAATACAATTATTATTTTGCTTTTAGTGCAGCATAAGTTTGACAGGTGCAATGTATTGCAAAACTGCAATCCTCTCCTTAGAACCACAGTAGTCATCTTGTTAGCCAAAATTTGGCCTGTTCTAAAAAAGGAATTAATTAATTGTAACCAATGATATTTGCAAGTATAGGCAGCTTGTCTTAAGATTTTATCTCTCTTTGGTTATGGATATAGTAGGACACAGGCCAACCATCGCAATGCAGAAGTCCTTTCTAACCTCAATAACTCCTGTGTTTTTCCCCACTGTTCTTGAAATCCAGTTGGTGGCAATATTGATAAGCATACAAGTGATTTTTTTTTTTAGAAACTCCTGATCAGAATACTTTAAGCATTTTTTGTTCTGTAAAGATGCTGCTACAGTATTTCTCAATATTTTGCTAATGTGACCAGTTGGTGGTATTTTGTTTATGAATCTTCTGTCAATGGCATAGAAATGAAAAGTTCCTCTCCCTAAGGTTTTGTCTTTAGTGTTTGTTATTAGAACACACATCAAGACCATCTTATTAAGTAACCATTTCTCTTTCTCCTAATTTTATTAATGTTACAAGGCTTCTATTATAAATCTAATGTTTTCAATTGTAAATATTACAGTAGTACTCCTGCACTTCCACCTAAAAACAAATCTTACTATTAATTTTGTTTTTTCTATATGTGTTTTAATGATTCTATTTTCTACAAGATGATTCTGGCTGTGGAGTGATCAGTAGTCACAAAATGTGAGAAATGTCTATCTGTGATAAATGTCCCCCCCCCCCCCAGTACTGTGTATACATGTGTATAACTCAAAAGGTATTGACAAAAAAAAAAAATAACCCCAAAAACTTGGCTTGATGTATCCATGGATCAATACCCGAAATGCATGGCAATGATGCTGGCTTGATGAGGTCTGTGCGCCCCACCATTTTGGACACTTGAGGTGGAGGTGAACAATAGTAGACATTTTAATAAAGGTTTCCTATATATGCTCCTCCACATCGCTACTGAACACAGCTTGGGTGGAAAAGGT